CATAACTCAGACTAGCAAATTGCCCATCAAGATTGACAGGCCAGTGGGGACAGAGGCCCACTCTCCCCCTCCCATCTGTTTCTCCACTGCACCGCCCCCCCTCCCCCCCACTCACCACCAGTTCGGCTCGGGCCTGGTTCCCCCCTGTTTCTCGGGGGGCCCAGTTCCCCCCCTTTCATCTTGGGGCCCATTTCCTCCCCTTCAGCTCCAGGCCCATTCCCTCCCCTCCCCTGCGCTCTCTCTCTCTGCAGGAGCTGCCAGGCTCCAATGGCCTCATTCACCATGAAGGGGCCCCTGGCTGAGCCAGGTCATGGGGTCATCGGAGCTCAGCAGGTACTGCAGAGGCGTGGCACAGGGTAGCTATGGAGGCATGTGGCTCACCAACCTGTGCACAGGGCATTGGCAGCGGCAGTTGTGGGCTGCACTCAGCCTCTGCTCCCTGCCTCGCTGCTGCGGCTTTAACAGTGGTGCAACACCATATGCCTCGCTGCCTGGCCCACCCAGCAACGGGTCTCACAGGGCACCATGCCATGCCATGCCGCTGTCAAATCCATGGCAGCGAGTTGAGGAGCAGAGTCTGAATGCAGCCCGTAGCTGCCGTCGCCTGTGCCCCATGCACAGACCAAGGGGCCACATGCTTCCCCAGCTGTGGGGCACCGCACCTCTGCAGGAAGCCCCGGGCTCCGATGGTCCCACGACCCAGCCCGGCTGGGGCCCCAGTCACTGTGGATGGGCCCTGGCTGGGCTGGGTTGGGTCATGGGGTAATCAGAGCCTGGCAGCTCATCCAGGGGTGCAGCATGGGGGACACGTGGCCCCCCGGTCTGTGCACAGCACAGAGGCGGTGGCAGCTGCAGGCTGTGCTCAGCCTCTGGTCCCTGCCTTGCTGCTACAGCTTTGACAGTGGCATGGCACAGTTCCCTGTGCTTCCATACATCCCACCACCGCCGCCTCCCTACACCCCATACATCCTGCTGCCTCTGCATGCCCTGCACATCCCACCATGTGCCCTGGAACCTCCACCGCCTCCCGACACACAACCCGCTGCTTGCCTCACTCCCTGGTCCCCAACCACCCCTGCCCTCTCCTCTTCTCCCTCCCCCTACTCCTGTCTGTGTGTCTGTTTGTCCCTAATGCTCCGGGCCAATTGCCGTCCACCCTGTAGGCGGTGCATGCACAGTTGGCCTGGAGCATTACAGACACACAGACAGAAGTGCTAAGGCGCTTATTTTATTAGAATGTTTATTAATAGTACTTTGATGTGATCAATAGGAAAAAAAAAAAAAGCTAGGCACATATTATTAAAAACATAATATCCAAACCAGCTCGGTCATAGGAAATGCTTAGGGCCAAAATTTGTCCAACCTTAAAAAGTTTAAATTGCAGATTTCAAATACTGCTGTTTACTAATATAATTTACCAACTGCTTCTGAGACACTATGCTAAATACTGCTAAATTTTTATCTTTTTTTTATTATTGAGTGGGGGGGGGGGGGGGTGGCCGCTTCTCGGCCGTTTAGCTCAGATGAAGTGTATATTTACATATATAACGTGTGTGTGTGTGTGTGTGTGTGTGTGTGTGTGTGTGTGTGTATGAAATTTATTTGTTCTCTACATGAGTCATTTTTCTTCTTTATGATATTAACAAATCAGTGTTTGTGTCACTTAAATAACTAGAAAACTAGATGCATATAATATGAAAGCACATAGTATAACAGACAGCAAAAAGAATCCCACCAGCTCAGGGTATAATATCACAGCAATGTATTTCAGTACAATTACAGACGCATTTAATGAACAACTGGTCTTCTCTAGTGACTCATTCAGGAGAAATATTGCTTATGGAGGAAAGTGACTCATATGGATCCTCCACAAAGGTTACTTAATATACCTGGGTCTTTGGTAATAGTTGCAGGTTCATTTCAGATGTTCTGCGTATTGTCTCCTGGACTAAAGAACATAGGAACATTTTGTTTAGAAGAGAGAAAAGAGAAAAATTCCTATTCAGGTTCTTAGTGCTTTATAAATAAAATATCCAGATATGAAAACATGGCAAACTTTTGTGTTTTCTCTCTTCAGCCATTTCTTAGAAGACATTTAAAGGGGGAGGAGATTGGAATAAACTAAAATATTAATCTTCAGAATGTTTACATTTAACAAGATGCCTTTTTTTCCTTCCTCTTGCCCCCAGTCTATAACGAATTGCAGTGCCAAATGCTTTCTGAAATATGTATCTGCTGGAGAGGTAAAGACAAATGGAAACTTTCAGTCTGGCCACATAAATCTTCCCTCCAAAATCCAGTTTAACATTGTTACTGTGACAGTATATCACTAATATGAGAGAGGGCAGGAGGGTGGGTTTGGTGAGGAAGTGCTGGGAGCTTGTTGGTTTTTTACATGTGCTTAGTCTGTTTAGGATTAGGCTGTGGTCTGCTCTAAGTGGTTTTAGTATGACCAAAATATATATAAGGACATCAACTTCCATTACAAGACAGCACAGACAGCTCATTTAAGGAGACTTAAATATTAGGATTATATATATAATCCCACTACAGACCAGTGTGTAAACCACCCTGGCCCCTTGAAACTGATTTTTTTTTTTTCAAGCTATGCTTGGCTTTTTGGTTTGTTTACAGTGCTGTTGGGCAGAGAAATACAATAGACTAAATCACTAGCAGCCTTGTTTTATTTTGTTTGGAACAAGGGAATTCTTAAAAAGATAGAGGATGTGGTTCATCTGATACTTTGTATGCTTCCTGTAAAGGATGGGGTAGATTAAGTCTTGATCCAAACTTCAGAATGTGATACCAAATCAGTCTCCAGAGGGTGGTCTGGAATTATCTTCTTTTTTCAAGGCTCCTCCTGTACTGGCACAAGCTTTTTCTCTAAAGAGCATCTAGAGTTAAGAATAACCAGGTTTGAACAGGAGAGGATATGAGTGACACAATGGGCAGCATGCATTTTCTCACTAATTGAACCTTACTGGCTATCATGCCCTTTTTCATATTCAGATCTAAATTATTCAGAGAGAAATTAGTTTTTATTTATCCAGCTTTCATGATCACAAGAAGGAAGCAATTGGTCTTGTGTTTGCATGTTTGGAAAGGCTGTGTAACATGGAGGATTAATATTTAAGTCTCCTTAAATGAGCTGTCTGTGCCACCTTGTAATGGAAGTTGATGTCCTTGGTTGCACCTCAATTTGCATAAAGGCCTACATGGACTCCTAGCTCAGGAAGGTGGAGTCAGGAGAGTAAAGATCAGAGAGAGAGAGAAATGTACATGTAAACAAATGTTGTTCAACTACTTTGTGCTCCCCTGATGCCACATGTTCAGCGCTGTGGGGAACTAAATTGAGTGTGCGGGGCCAGGCCAGGCCGAAGCATCATGGGATCCTGGGACCCAGTCCTAGTATGTGGGGCCAGGTGGGGTCTCGGCATGTGTGGGCCAGCCAAGGCTGTGTGAAGCCCAAACCAGGCATACAAGACAGGGAGGGAGGCAGCACAGGTCTGATCCCAGTGCATGGGGCTCAGTCTGGCCTGTGGACCAGGCCCATGCCACTTATCTGGCCTACATGGCCAAAAGATTGAGCACCACTGTGCTGCAGGAATACAGAAAATAGGAGAAACACTACACCACTCACATCATTCACTGTTTCCCAGTATACTTGTAGAATGCCTATACTTCTAGAATGCCTGTTAGCAATTGCACCTTAACTTCGTAAGTAATCAAGCCTAGAGCATTTGGCTGTAGTAGGCATGACCCTCCAAAAAAAAAAAAAAAAAAAAGTGCTCACTAAGGTGCATCTTATGCAAAAGAAAAAATGTGGTAACTGAAAGTTTAAAATTTATACTAGTGCTTTGAAGATAAGCCTGGAGACACCAGTAAGTTTTTGCAGGTTCAGGTAGAGAGAGGCAAGGAGAAAGAAGGGTGTGCATGGCACCCATCCACCACATGGTATCCACGCCATGTCCACACCACAAGCAACCCTTAGGGGATCACTCTCCAGGTGCCCCCAGATAAAAGCACAATTTATCTTTTTGTTGGTTGTTTTAAGGGGGGGAGAAGAGAAATCCATTTCTATGTACTGCAGTATGTTACACACCAGAAAATATAGTAAATATCTCTCTCCCCTTCCCCCCACACCAAGGGGCAAGGATTTTTTTTTATATCTTACTGGATCAACTGGATAGTTGGGAGAGCTAGTGGACAACCTTTTAGGCATCAAGCATCCTTCCTCAGGTCTGATGGGCATCTGAAAGCTTGTCCAACAGCTCTCCTGACTATACAGTTGGTCCAGTAAGATATCACAACAAACCCTTCTCTCTACAGTTCCTGGACCACGAGGGACACAGCACTCTAGTTGTCTTACATTTTTTTCCTAGTCATCTGGGAAAAAGGGAACACTTATTTGTACGAAGTGGAAGAACGGGAAGTCTGGTTTAAATTAGGACTGAGGCAACAATTTTATATGAATGTATTCAGATGAAGTTGATGCAGAATGGTTAAGGTATCTCGCTACAGCTCCAAAGCCTGAGTTCAAGCTGTAGACGGCTAGCTATTCAGGCTGAGTCATCAAAGATTAACTGGATGTAATGCTAGGCACTTGCATGCTATTGGCTGCAGAAATTGGCATGCCTCATTCACACTAGGCTGATGGACCATTAGGCTCAGGCCAATCATTTGCTTTATTCAGATCAAGCCATGATAGTGTAAACAGGTTTGTTAAGGTGCAGCAGATCCACAGAACAATATGCAGCCATCAGGATGCTTGCTTATAATGTCTGTCAATCACAGAATCAGAGAGAAGTAACCTCTGGAAGTCCCTTCCAGCCCTATCTAGTCCAATGTAATATGCTGTTTCTGCAATCAACAAAATAATTTGACTGGTGAATATGCAAACATTTATATTAGGATTCTTGTGCTGCACAGAATGTAACTTAGGCCCAGTCTCTTCATCCCATAAATATTTGTAAACCTTTCTGATATCACCCAATAGTTAATGTCATTCACGGATATTTATTTGATATGCCTTAATTTGTTTGCATTGACACAAGTACAGGCTGAAAAAAAGATCTCAATACTTCCATTGGGTAGCACAGTTTTTCAGGGCAAAATAAAGAACCAGTATTTCTTTCCATCGCCCATGCTTAGTTAGCATATATCCATTCAGGACCTGAGTGCAGATTTCAATAGAAGTAGAGCAAAGTTAACACTAAGAGCTTTTGAAAAATCTAACCTTTTTATCCATCTCTAAAAAAACAATGCTGATAGCAATTGCCATGATGAAAAAGACCTGTAAATTAGCAGGGAAATATACTCCTCCTTTGATTGCAGCATGTTTTAAAAGGACGTTGTTTTTTTCTTATGATGTTCAGACAGAGCACCTTGAGACACATAGATAACAGATAATAGGCATTTCAGGTAACTTCCAGTCTGAGACAAAGGACCAAGAGGTCAAATAGCATTCAGATTTCTCTGGCAGCTGGAACAAGCTTATTGTACTGTTCTTACTATATCTGTTACAGGGGTATGTTATAAATAAGTTTATTTCCATAAAAGACAAGAGTGAAAGCCTTTTCCAGATCTTGCATTCAGCTTTTGCTCTTCGTGTTCCTTCTGCTATGGCTAAAGTTGTCAGAGCCGAAAGAGAGGCTTATATGTAAGTGACCTGACCTTCAAAAGTACTACAGAGCCAGCACCTCCTGCTGATTTCAGTTGGAGCTGCTGGTCTTCAACACTTCTGAAAATCAAGACATTTATTAGAAGCCTAAATATAGATATGGAAACCTGTCTTTAGCACACTGTATCTGAGTATCCTGAACATTTTTCTACTTTTACATCAGTATGAAGTTCTAAAAGTAGTTATTTCTAAGTAATCACTTTGCAATGTATTCTTCAGCTGTCCGTTGCAATGTTTGGTAAGCTGCACATGCAGATGTAAAGCAACTCAATGCATGGTGCATCTGAGAAAATGGAATGGCAGTTAATTGTAATTTAGTGACCCCTTGGGCATGGAGAATTTGAATGCTATTTGATCGATAGTTGCTTTCCTTGGCTTACTCCAAGGCCGACATATTTTTAGTTAAATTGCAAATAAATTTGTTTATAACAAATAATAAAAAAAGGTGAAATAAAAATCTTGTGAATTTTTACAAGCTAGCTAAAAAAAAGTCTGTTAATAAAAGTGTTTTCTTTCAGGTTCCAAACTAAAATTATTTGGACTGTTTTAAGATAGTTGTTGCTTCCTTCCATGGTTCTGTTTTCTGTTTGGTAGCAGGGATGACGATCTGGATTATCTGGCTACAAAGTCTGCTGCACATACTTCGTGAGTTAGGAAAAGTACACAGAAAAGTCCTTTTCAAAATTTATTTCCTGGATCTTTCTCTCTGCAAATGCCTCTATAGTTTCTCCTCAATTTAGAAAGACTTGTCTCTTCTTTCCAATGTGAACATTTTGAAAAAAAAAAAGAAAAACTTCATGCATCACTCTGGTCTTGTGACTCAAGAAAAGGCCTGCTGAATCAGAGGGCTTTGCTGGCTTTTGGATGCGTAAAGTCATGTAGTGCTACCTTCTCAATGTAAGTGTCTAAGGAATAGTGAGTGGGAAGCTTTTTTTTCCAATGCTGTCTAGTAAACCACCCAATAAAGTATATTACATTAAGTCACAGTCAGGCCTGATGAGCTGAGTAATGTGCTGTTTACTAGCTCTCCTGTGAGAAAACAAAACTGTTGCCCAGGTCTCTTTAGCAGAAGCAGCTGCTTCACTTGCACAGCTCTGTGCTAACTTCTCTCCATTTGATTTTCCCCATGGTTTGTTGATGCAGCTGATTATTTTTAAACGTGCAGAGCTGAATGCTGCTTTGGAACTTGTTCCATGAGGCAACACTCCCATTGGTGTCATTAGGTTCTTGCCCTTGATCTCTCTTGTTTAAATCTTCTTCTAAGTTTACGGTATTGGGTATAGTAATCCAGGGCAGCATCTGGGGGGCTGCGGGCTGTGGCCAATTCCTCATTAACTGGCAAGGAAAAAAGAAAGAAAGCCCAAATGTTAATTTCCAACACTGAACTTTTACATGGAGAACATAACATCAGGAGAAATTTACCCAGAATGCTGAAGGAAATCCTTCCTGGCATGAGAGGGTAATTAAGGTAATATGACCATTGAAGCCTAATTCAGATTGGCTCATTCAAGTCAAAGGAAATACACTTATTTTCTTCAGTGGGCTCTGGGTTAGGCCATAGTCCTTGGACAATTGTCCGGGTTGTGATAGTTTTCTATTTACACTGCAGAAATGCCTTGGGGAGTTCCCAGTCACAAAATGGGGTCTCAGAATGCCAGGTGCTGTACAAATACAATAAAAATGATTAGTGTCTATCCAAGGATGTTACAGTGCAAGTGGTAAGATGGGAACCAACCAACCAATGGGTGCAGCAACCGGTGGGAAAACCTAAGAACAAAACAGAACCAATCAGCCTAAAAAGTATCTGTAACACCAACGTGCTGAACTGTTGCTGAGTATTTTGTAGGGGAGAGCTTTTGCAAGCGGGATTTGAAAAAGGACAAGGTGGTGGTTTTGTGAAAGTATATGGCAGACCCTTCCCATGCTTGGAGGGCAGCATGAGAGAAATGAGAAGGTGCTTGTTTGAAAATTGAACCTGTAGGCCCTGGTTGGAGTAATGGGGATACATTGTCAAAGGAGCTTCACCCAACTCTTACGGAATGTCTAAGGCCCTGTCTGGGACCTAGTTATCTGGCCTTGGGCTAGTGGCTGAATCAGGTGACAGAATTGCAGGTCAATACCTTGGTCATGGGGCTTCCTATAAGAAAGCCTGCTCTATGATCTGGAGGAAAGTAGTCTTTGTAGGAAGAAGTGATAGAGAGCACTCCTGCAATGGCCTGAAGGGAGAGGAGAAATGCCAAGAAGCCTGCAGCTAGAATCTATAGGAGCAAACAGAAGTGCAGCTCCCTGGTCTAATTCATGGCATTTTACAGAAAGTGCCATGAGTTAGATTGATTCTCGCAACTCAACAGATGTTAACTATTGGGTTGAGAGTGTGGGGGATCGAGCTCCAATCTGTAGCTGATCTAGGGGGAAAGGCTGCGTCTCTCCTCCCCCAGCCGCCTCTATTCTAGCCCCTGGTTCAGTCTTAGGATGGGAGAGAGAGAAGGCAGTGGAGGGAGGTCCATTCTTCAGCCCGCTCTGGAGCGGAGGGATGGGTGAATTGGACACCGCACCCCCCCGCCCCGGCCCACCCTCTAACACCTGCTGGCAATCCCTAGAAAGAGCTCCCTCTGCTCTCTTACCCCCCGCTCCCTTCCCATTCTGCAAACAGTGCTGAGAGCAAGGCTGGGCTGTGTCAGTCCAGCCCTGCCAATGGCGTGAGCAGACACAAGTTAATGAATGTGCTCTGCTTTATCATATAATGAGGGTTCAGTTTGTTGCAGGATTGGGCCCTTTTAAAGCACTCTGCAGCATAGCATGCACTTGTGTTGGGTCACGACTATAGAGTACTTTCAGGGGACAGATCAAGTGAAAATTGCCACTTCTGTTTGAGCCTGACATGGCTTTGCTAAATTACATTTGTGTTTGGAAGAGACCCGCTGGATTAGGAAAACCCCGATTCAGGATTAATTAACAAGGAAAGGGCATACATGAAAGGCCTGGAGACAGGCCTAGGTAAGAAATGGTCCAGGGAAATGAAGCATGGGGTTTGTCTGAGTATGTGGACCTTTTCTATTTGTATATAGGGTTGCTGCACTACAAGCCAGAATTGAGGGAGGATCCATTCCCCTGCTGCCCCCAGAAGGCTGCCAAGGGGGGCAACCTAAAAAGGCCCTGACATTAGGGTAGAAGGTGCTCGAGGCTGGAATGGCAGACTCAAGACTCAGTAGGAAGTTACTTGAACAATTTTTGGTTTTGTTGGACGTTAGTTGTACCAGAAAGGTGGAGGAGGGTCTTCATGATTTGACTGGAGGGCTAAATCTGGGGGAGACTGAAACTGGCCTAGCTCAGAAGAGGAAACAAAAGTGTCTGGAGCTAGCAGCAGGGACACAGGCCTGGACTTCTAGATTCAGAAGGCAATAAGGCAATTTTGTCACAGTTCGTTTTGAAAAATCTCACTTGTCCACGGCAAACTGAACAAAATGTGTTTAATCTTTTTGTAGCCTTGTGATTCAGTCTTTATTGGATTTAAATTGGTAAGATGCAATAGAAAACTGTTTCTTTCACTGACTTCTCACCCAAGTGGGTATTTTTTATCGTTCTGACAGCTGATGTTGCTGTAACAAGATCCATATCCACGGGTGAACAGAATTTCAGTGCCTTTGATTAGCTGGACAGAAATAATGATATTTACTGACACAATATTCCTGAAGTCCTGTCGGTGATATGACAGGAGAGTCACAGAACCAGAGGCCTGGAAGAGGCCTCAAGGTATATATTCCAACTCCTTGCATCAATATAGGATTTTTCTAAATTATTCCTGCCTAGTGCTTATCCAGCCACCTCTTCAATACCTCTAGGGAAGGAGCTTCCACAACTTTCCAGGGCAGTCTGTTCCACAACCTCACTTTTCTCATTCATGAGAAGGAAGATTTTCCTGTGATCCAAACCACTTTGCTACAGTTTAGAGCCATTGCCCTCTGGAAAAGGAACAGTCCTTCTCCCTGTTCCTTATGGCAGGCTTTCAGATATTTGAAAACTGCTATCATGTCCCTATTTAAAATCCTCCCCCCCTCCAGTCAAACATTTGTAAATCTCTCAGCCTTTCCTTGTACAGCTTGCCTACCAAGCCCTTTACCATTTTTGTCATTCACCTCTGGACCCTCTCCAGCTTCTACACATCCTCCAAACATATGGAGGCCAGAACTGCACACTGCTGGTTATGCCTCTGGATGAGGTCTTACCAGTGCTAAGTAGAGTGGTGCTATTATCTTCCATGTTTTAAACCTAATACTCCTGCTGATGCAGCCCAATATGCCATTTTCTTCTTTTGCAACTCCATCACTGTATCATAGCAATGATGCCCTCAGCAGTCAGTCATGGAGCCTTGAACATCAGATCCATTTTTACAAGGAAGAAATATTACTTAGAGAAACTAAGGGTTTCTTAGGGTGATACCCTTTATCAAACCATGAGGTGACCATTAGGTCACCTGATGGAAAACATCTTTCATTCAAAAGCTTGTCTAACTATACAGTTTGTCCAATAAAAATGTCACCCTAAGAAGTCCTTGCCTCTGCATAAAACCATTATGGCCACAGCATTACTCATATACTACCATACTGTTATGAAACCATGGCCCAACTTATGGAGAGTTTCAATCAGCCTGATTTTGCTCATGGGAGAGGAAAATCCTGACTAGATGGAAGTTCTGCCAAAAGAGATCTCACTTTTGAAAAGTTAAGAAATACTGTGTGGGGTTACTTCAACTTCATTACTTCCAGTGTCTTTAATAGGTGCACAAGAGACAAACAGAGATGTCTCATTACTAAGATCTTCTTCATTTCAAGTAAAGTTTAATGTTAAATCCTGTTAATCACAATTATTTGACCCTCCCCCTTCATGTACTGCCATTCTACCCTCGCTCTGGGCAACACTGGTTGTTTTCCTGTAAGGGCATTTTAACACTTAAGCTTCCTGATACTGTAGACACTGGATAGTATACCAGTAATACTTTGGTATAATATCATGCTTTTGTTTGTTCATGTGTGAAAAGGCAGTTAGCAGGTATAGATAATTCTTAAGAATCAGGTGAAGGCAGACCTTATTTAGGCATACAGAGCAGGCTTTGTTAGCTGGTAAGTTTAGCATCCGAAAAAAGTACCTTTGGCTGTTTGTGTAATTGTTTTAAGAGCCTGGAGCTCACTTATTGTATGTACACAGACACTTATTACTGCAAAGTCCAAAGGTTCAGAAACGTAGAGACGTTATAGATAACGGGAATTGATTCATCTGCATATTTCTTTATGTATGGGCTGATTTACATGAAGGGCTACATCAAATGTGTCTCAGTTATCAGAATTTAGAACCTGACACATAGCCGAAACTTGGGTTGAGCCTAGGAATATAAACTGCTGTGTCCCTGGCTGGCTTTGGCAACTTCCTGGACTGGTCTCCAAATAACTTCACAAGCTTTTTCCTGCTTGTTGTGGAATGACAGAGGACTGTGGTTGCATTGTAGCCATGTGCTGGCTGTAGTATATCTGGCCCTTTCCTGCTCTGGGTGGGCTTATAGACCCTGATGAGAAGCCCAGTTCTGGCTGCTGCTCTTTTTCTTCTCTAGTTGACTTCAGCTCCCTAGTTATGGTCTACCAGAGACTTTGGTTCAGAGTGGCAAGGAAAGCACTTCTCCTTGTCATGCTAGTCATTGCAGAGTCTGAGTCTAAAGGGAAAGATAATGATTCATGGACTCCTGATGAGCTGCTGCAGATGCAGGGCCCTAGAGATCAAACCAGTACAGTGTGTGTACCTACAGTGGCCCTGATGTTGGAGGTGTGTATAATCTCAGTTTATGTAATGAGGATGCTTAAGCTTCTTAGGAAGGAATAGGGCAAAAAGCAGCTAATTCCAGGAGCCTCCTTGGGTTCAACAGTCACATGAGCAGGTCTGAGACAGACCACAGCACAGCTGACCTCTAGCAATCCTTTGGAGTTAATAGATCACTCATTCCCATAGGAAGAATCAGTAGCATGGTTGTGACAGTGCCAACTGGTGTCACAGGCAGCTGGTATCAGATGCAACAAAACTCACTTAACTCAGAAAAAAATTGGCAAAGGAGGAGATAGCATCAGACACAATTACTCTACAGCTATGATGTTGGGGTTTTGACAAGATTTGTTGCGGTTTTTTAAATGCAGAATTGTGTGCCTGGCTTACGTGAATGTGTTCAGAATACAGAGCTAGTGACTCTGGGTAATTCTTTTATTGCTTCTGTACATTACTCTTAGAAAAATTAGGACCATCTCTGTGGGCTTGATTAATGCTCACTGGCCATTCTAAATTGTTCACTTCTCACCACCCCAACTTGGTATTGTCACTTTGATTGCTACAACATTTCTCTTTTTAACTACTTATCCCCCCTTTACAATTATCACATCCTCCAGAGCATATACCATCAAATTATTTCATGATTGTGCATCAAATATTGTATGCAGATTTTTCAAGGATGGCAGTAGTTTAGTTCTAGCCTGCTATATCCAACCTAATTCAACAAGGAAGAACACAAGCAAAAGAGACTGTCAATGGCTATCAGCAGCAAAAATGTTACCAGATTTCTCTGATATCCACTGTATCTTATTAGACACTGGAATGCAGTGGAGTCTGTGACCTCTGAGGATCTAAGAAAGCAGCTCAGGAGTTTACATTCTTTACCATGCAAAAAATATGAGGCTAAGAGATGCAACAATACTATTTAAGAACCTAAATTATAATTGAAATTGATGGGAATTAGCTTAATTCAAAGTCCACTGAAATCAAAAGGAGTCTCTCTCAGTCCTGAATGTGCTATAGATTTGGTCATAACAGCTTTCATTTAAACCCAGCAGCCTCAAGTGAAAGTGGCAACACTTATAAGCAGGGTTTGAATTATGGGGGAGCTGAGTGGAGCTGAGCCCCACCACGGGACGGTCAGCCCCTGGCCTGCCTTGTGTCTTTCTAAGCAGCCCAGGCAGGGGCGGCAGTGGCTGCTTCTGGCTGTCACTGCCACTGGCCCCAGGCCCATGGTACTGGCAGGGACCTGTGCGCACAGGCCAGACCCCAGCCAACTTCTTTTGCACACTCCCTCAAGAGTCTAAGTGTAATTTGAACCCTGCTTATAAATGCCCATACGGCTCAGGTTTCAATGGAAGCCAGGTCTTTCTAGCTAGGAACAGACATTACACACAAACTGGTTTAAGTGATGAGAAACTGATTTAAACCTGTAACAGGACATAAGTTCAGTGCACATAAACCAGTTTCAAAATGGCTGAAACTGGTTTAAGATAAACTTGGTTGAATTTAATATCAGACTTAACTGATTTGGGTCAAACCGGTTTATGCAATGTCTGTCCCAGACCCCTTTCTGGTTTCAGTTAAACCAGAGTCCCCCAGCATCCCAGATGCTTTGCAGCCCTGAGCTGGGCTGTCTGCTCTAGAGAACAGGGCTGGCCCCACCCCTCTACTCCCTAGCCAGAGGTCTGGCGGAGACTGCAGGCAGAGCAGACTCTGCCTGGCTTCCTCCTGCTCTCCCCCCCCCCCCCCCCGCCTCCCTCCTTCCTATCTCTCACAGCATGGACCCCAGCTACATGGACCCTAGCCAGCATGTGATATATTAGCTAATGCTAAGAGGTGTCTGTGTGTGTGTCTCCAATTTCACTGGGACAGGACAAAGGCAGACAGGACAGTGTCTGTTTAAGGCTTTTTGGAGCTATTCAACAGGTCAGCTGGTAATGTCCCTCCATTCCTTCCTTCCTTGGAAAAAGCTGTTTAAGAAAAGCTTAAACTAATGAGAGAGGCTTTTGTTTTGTTAATGGTCTGATAAACGCTGTGTTATCAGCCCCCTGCTGGCTCTCTCACCTGCCAGGTTTGCAAACAGAATGAAGAAGCAGGGAGAGGGAGACTGTATGATCAACAGGCCTGGTCATGCCCCTCCTCAGCTCAGGACTGTGGAAGGAAAAGGAGGGCTTTTCTAGCGCCCCACAGCTTCAAGCCTGAGCCACTGTAGGCACATGCCTGCATTTCCTCAGTCCAGAGGGAATGTCTGTGCAGTTGAAAACAGATTCAACCTAGGCAGGTTAGACTAACCTGCAACGATTGAATCAATTCAGGCTCAGGCTTTTTTGAATGTCTGTTCCCAGCTGCTAAGATAGTTTGGGGTGGCACAGCAGAGAATGGGAAGCCCCTTTTTTAAAAAAAAAAAAAACAGGCTATAAATTTAATAATCAAACACACAGGACTGACTCATTCAATAGCGGAAGTCTTATACAGCAAAGGCCCAAAAGGAACTGGTCTGTAGTCTAGCCAGCCACAGTATAGTTTCTACTTTGTGGTTTCTTGTAATAAAAATGGGTGTAACCCTTTTCCATGCCTCTAGTCAGTAAAATTGTCTGGTTTAAATGCAGTTTCAGTCTAAAATCCCAAGCTGTGGTTTTAAGCCATCCTTCAGTTGACTTAAAATGGGGCACAGTGACTTCAGAAGTCTTGGGTAAGTTTTGTCTTTTGCATCCCAGTTTCCTGTAACTTAGTATACAAAAGGAGTATTTTGTTACACACAAACCTGTCTGCCTACCCACTTGTCCTCAGGGGGCTGACTCACCCTCCAAGAGCTTGATCCTGAAGTAGGCAATGAGCAGGAGGAGAAGCAAAGTCACCGGCAGGAAAATCCCAGTAAAGAGAACCCAGCCCGGTAGCTCCTTTACAAATATGAACAGTGGGCTGTCCATGGCTGGTCTTGTCCCACAGCCTTGCTGGAGAAGTTTCTCTGGCACTGTTCTGCCTTGTTCTCCTCTGTTTTGCTCTACTTCCACTCTCTGCCCTTTGCTCAGTCCATTATCACTTTTTCTGAACTTTGCTTTGTTTGTACAGGCCTGTGATTTCTAATGGAGTTGTAGCTGGGTTATATGGTTACTCAGCCAGAGTTTAAAAGGGCATGTTGGAGTGTTCTGTGACTGTGAAATGTGTGGTTATGCTTTTTCTTTCCTTGCATTTTAGCAGTGTTTTAGTCCATGGGTGTTTAAGCACCAAGTATTTTTCCTCTCCTGGTATTACAGTATTATCATTTGGCTTACAGAACAGCTGAAAGCCTTGATCAAGATCAGCTGTGCCTACAATGTGCACTCTACTCACTCTCTTGAGATGAGGGCCTCTGCTTTGATGAACTTGAAGAACAGAGTCTAAATAGATAAGATAGATAAAAGGTCGAGAGAAGAAATAATACTGCTCCCTCTTTACTCACAGGCAGTTGAAGCAGGGAGAGATTCAGGGGATTTTTCACAGGGCTTATTAACCACAGCAGAGTCCAGACTTGCCAAAGAGCTCAGCTCTTATTTGAGGGCTCAAAAATGGTTAGATTTCAAGTGCTTAATGCTCAGGGTGCTGAGCTTTGTTAAAATTTTGGAAGAGGGCCCCTAGAAAGTCCTATGGAATAGCTGGGACTAGGCCAGGGTTAAAAGCAGATAACCTGCAAAGTTGGGCTCTTGCCATCCTGGGGCTTTAGAGGCCTGGTGGGACAGCTTCAAATGGGGGAACCCTAGGTTCCTCACTTGCAGATGCACTTTATGACTCGGGGTGCAGTAACATATGTGCATCT